AAACAACGATCAGTGATTTATCTCCTGCCATCCTTCTCCAGCCTCTGACAAACAGAGGCCAGGGACACCACTGGTATTCAGAGTGGTGCGGTAGCTGGGTCGTGCTGGGCCATGGATTTTGGCTTTCCTTGGTACCGAGGAGGCAGCAGTGGCATAGCAGACAGCAGTACCAGACTGCCTGATGCAGAAGTTGTAGCCACAGAGGGGCCGGTTGCAGGGGCTGATGATGTGCAAAAGCCTTGTGTCAGAGTGCTGGTGCCAATTCCAGTGTTACAGTAGGGGCCAGTGCTGCTGCCAAGGACGGTGCGGGGGCTGGTGCCAACATCGAGGTCTGCAGGAGTCGCACAATGATGACTTCTTGCATCTGGTACTGGGCCACAGTGCCGTGGCTGCAGCATACTACTACCTGGCAGCACACTTCTTAGCTGGGCCTGGTGTTGGGGAAGAGGTTAACTTGATGAAGTCCCTTGCAGGCTTGAAGGTGTCAGGCATTGAGGGCTCCAGAAGATCCCCCACCAGGCTTGAGCCCCGATTCAGGCTGGAGCAGTGCCGACCCGATGAGGGCCACATGCCCCACCTGAGGGTGCACAGACAGCACGTCTCAACAGAGACCTGTCCTGCCTACGTCTCCATTTCATCTGAGGCACCAGAGACTGGGACCGGTACTGAGGCCTTTGCGGTGCACGAGTGGCTAGGTGCCTTGTGCACTGAAGCCGGTGCGCTCTGCGTTGCCAGTGCCAGGTCTGACGCCAGTGCAGGGCAAAGAGCTGCTTCCATGAGGATGATCTTCAATGGAGATTCTCTCTCACCTGGTGCATGGCTTGAAGCCTATGTAGATCTTGCATGACTTGGACAGAGGCACTTAAGGCAGGCTTCGTGGGGGTTCTCACAGGCACAGGTTTCTGGCACTTTATGCAGGGCTTGAAGCCGTGGGGCCCAGCCACACATGCTGGAGACATGAATCAAGCCCCGCACTTAAGTGACTACTAAGGCTTAATAACTATTTATAACAAGATAAGAAACCATCAACTACAAAAACACTAACACACACTACCAAGAATGGGTGAGAACTGCTAGGATCAGCTTTGCCTTCCTACAACACTGAACCGTGGGATACTTACCCACATTACTTTGCTAGCACCCTGTCAACAGATAAGAGCAATGTGACCATGAAATGTCAACGAGAGGCAGACTCGTTTTTCTCTTTTGGCTTCTTTTGCACGTGACAGCACTTTTGTCGCAAAATCTTCTCAGTGTAGACATAACCTCAGTAAGAAGAGCATCTTTACTCTGGGGAGTTTACCCTTGCTTAGTCCCAAAACCAGAAAGGGACAAGATTTTTTTAAAGGGGTATCTCAATGGCCTAATTTACTAAGCACCCAACAACATCCACTGTCTTCAGTGGTTCACTCAGCAATTTTAAGAACCAGACCACTTATTTATGTGCCTAAATATTAACTAATATCAATTTTTTGAAAATGTGGCCCAAATACCTAAGTTTTAAAAGTTGTAATGTCTTTTTTGATACTTCACAAAAGAACAGAGGATTGGTTTTTCTAATGTTCGAAGTTCTCTGCAGATCACAAATGCAAAAATGTTATACAGTGTGTATGAAAATATGTTCTTCAATCATTCATCAGGCCTCACAGAACAAGGGGAAAACAACTTCCTAATCAAACACATGCATTTTATTTGCGCCAAAACATTTGTCTCCCTTTGCATCAAAAAATTGTGACTGAAGATTGTAACATTCAGATATTATTACTCAACTGGACCTCCAGTTAATGAGTCTGCAGAAAGGTTATGAACAGAAAGAGAAAGTTAAAACTCCTTTACAATTTTGACCCTTAGTTACGATCTTGTTTTGGTAAAAAAAATGGCAAGGATATCTACATGAGAGAGGGAGCTTCATCCTCAACTTTCTAGACAAGCAGATGGTTGTATTAAGACGGCATTAAGGTCAGAAATCTTCCTGGCTGCCATGAACAGGGGCTGCTGTCCTCAAGGAGAGCCCAGCTCCCTGCTGGGAGCCCTGCACACCGGGGCTGCATCACAGCAGCCTCCCCTGTCTCCCCTGCTGACCCTGATAGGGGCAGTGGTAGGGGGAAAGCAGGCAGTACCCCAGACAGTGAAGGGGGGAACCAGCTTTTAAGCTGAATCCCCCCAGTACTGGCTCCTCCTCCCCACCCCTTGCTGCCTCTCTCTGATTGAGACAATGGGGGGCGGGAGGGGGAGCGACTAGTCGAGTCACTTCTCGATTTTCCGATAAGTTTATGCTTACTGGTTAGTCGACTAGTCACTTAGATCCCTAGTTGCAATTATGACAAAGTCTATGCGCTTTGGTTTCTCAGCCACCATGAAAAACAAATCACCACCTCACCTCTACAAGGAAGACACGACAAATACTTTAGCTTCAGTCTTCAAGCCCTACCAACTGCTTTATAAATCCTAAAGGGAGTCCATCTTCACATCTTTATTTTGAGCACCCTTAAAAACACTAACATGTAGCATTTCTGTTCAAGAGATCCACTATCATGTAAGCGGTGGGCAATAATTTTTGGTGAGGGGGCCCACTCCAAGATTTTGGAAAGTGGTCAAGGGCTGCACAATTTTCTGTGGAGATGAGGGGTCTAGGGTGGCAGTTGGGTGAAGACCGGTACACAGGGTTAGGGAGGTCTGAGAGGAAGTTTGGGTGGGGGGTTGTGACCTGGGTCAGGAGATTGGGGTGCAGGGTCAGGGAGGGAATATGGGTGCAGGAGTGGATTCTGGCTCGGGGGAGGGGCTCTAGGAGGAGGTGCAAAGTCTGGGAGGGAATTGTGACCCGGGGCAGAGGTCTGTGGAGGGTTTGGATAGTGACATGGGAGAGGGAGTTGGAATGCAGGAGGGGCAGAGGTGCCAGAGGCAGGCTCTGTCTGGAAGGCGCTTACCTAAGCCAGCAGCCCTTGCAGCACCCCCAAGGCAGGCTGGGCTCCCTGCCTTCTGCAGCTTCAGATCACTTTAAATTGCAGACTTGTTCCCTTCATGTAGCTCTCAGCTCTGACCAGATGAAAGCAAGTCAACAACACCTCTGAGATAAGAACTGCAGCTTCTAAATCCTTCTCTCAGAGACAAGGGAACCAGACTTTCCTCCCAACTCTTAATTGCACACCTATTCCCCTTCTTCAACGTGGCTCATTGTTCTCACCCATTTTCATCCTATTCCATGTACAGGCAGTCCCCGACTTATGTCGGATCCGACTTATGTCACAGTTACGAATGGGGCTGCCCCAGAGTACACGGACTGCGGGACCTCGCGGTCCTGCCGCCCGTGTACTCTGGGGCTTTGCTCTGCGTCTCCCTGGTCTGCAGACCAGGAAGACGCAGAGCAAAGCCGCGGAGGGGCTCAGGCAGCCGGGCAGCCCAGGCACGCCTGGGCTGTCCCGCCGCCGGCTTCCCCCGCAGCTTTGCAAAGCCACGGAGGGGCTGGGGCTCCGGGGCAGCCCAGGCGCGCCTGGGCTGTCCTGTCCTCTCCAGCAGACCAGGGAGATGGGGAGCAAAGCCTCGGAGCACGCCAGCAGTGGGACAGCGTGGCGCGCCTGGACTGTCCCGCTGCCCGCGTGCTCTGCGGCTTTGCTCCGCGTCTCCCAGGTCAGCAGACCAGAGAGATGGAGCAAAGCCGTGGAGGACTTGGGCGGTCCCGCCACCCCCGTATCCCTGGTCTGCTGGGGGAGGGGTGCAGCTAGTGCCCCCCCCAGCAGACCAGGCTTTTCTTGCCTACCCCTGGGGTAGAGCAGCTGGGGGCTGCCGGGTTGGTCCCGCAGCGCCACTCCGAACCAACCCGGCAGCACCCCAGCTGCTCTGCCCCAGGCGTCCTGATTCAGCCGCTGCCGGGCTGTTTCAGACGCGG